TATGATATTTCTATATTTCTTAATAATTTCTTTCTTGATAATGATTTTGGAATTTAATTCGAAAAGATCGGCAATATAATTAGGTTGAATTTGAATATTAATATTTTGATTTAGAGATATATAAAAGATTAATGTGTTCGAATATTTTGTTTAAAATTAAAGGATAATATAGAAGATTACGGAATCTTCAATTATTTGATTCATTGATATAATTCAATTTCCATATTAGACATTAACTTATTTGGATATATAAATAATGTTTATTATTTTTGATTTTGGATAATATCATTTGATAATTCTATTATTTGATCTATATAATATAATTAAATTTCTTTCAATAATTCAATAAGAAATTAATTTAAGCAATTTTTTGTGAATTATATATTTATATATATATATTTCAAATATATATATAATTGAAATTGGAATATTATGTTTTTGCAATATTTCAATATATAAAAAAAGCATAAATTATCAGAATCAGATATAATTAGGAATAAATATATTCTATCGAGGAATATCTTTCCATTGATGCAATCATTTTTTCATTATTCGATCTAAATATGGAATATATTTAGATTCAATAATATTGTAAAAACAATATCTTAAAATTATATATAATAATCTTCAATGATTCATATTTCTATTTTACTATATGTAATGATCTAATAAAAAATTCATAAATAGTAATTAATGAAAATTGAAAATGATGATAATAATTTATATATTTTCAATAAATATTGATATATTTTTAATTTATCTATATATTGAAATATAAGAATTGAAATATATATTATATTTATCGAATTTATATATCATATATCTTTCATTTGGAAATCAAATATTTTATATATTTAAATGCCTCGAAATATTAATCGAATAAAATTGTTTCAATGATTATTTTAAATCTATATAACTAATATTTCTTTGATAAAATATTGATTTTGTTTAATTGAATTATAATATAAATAATATAATTAGTTTAAATCTAATCTAATTGTAATTTAATATAATTCTTATTTTTTTTGATTTAATTAGAATCTATTATATTTAAATATTAATATTATCTATTTATATCTTTATTATGAATTTATAATATATATTATATATATGTGTAAATCTGTTTTATATAATTAATATATTATATATATTATGGGATCTAATCGAAATATATTCTTCCAAAAATGATTGAAAATCGTGGTTATATGGGGGCCCACTATATATAATGTATTTTTAGGAATTTTTAGCCCACACAATTTCTTAAAGAAGGAAACATGGATCCCACAAATATTGGCCCCAAATTGCAAGAGGCGTCACTAACGCTGCACCGTTTGTTGCAAATCAATTTTGGAAGGGTCCATGTTAGTCTGGCATTATGTGCTAGCGCGGATCTAACGCAATGTTATTGTACGACCAATATATTTATGTAAATCCTATATTTCAAAATTTGACGACCTTTTAAATATATCCTAAGCCAAATATTTACGCAAATCTACCACAAACCTAACGCCCAACTACAAAATAGATGTTTTTTCTGGGGCTCATTACATTCTTAAACAAATATCATAAGCTATATACGATTCCTCTTTCAATTATTTTTAATAATTAAATTTTTGGCCGGACTCTATATTATATCTGATCATAAATTCAATTATTATATCAAATTTAAAATATTCAATTTCAAATTATATATACCAAAATATATTTATAAGATTATTTAAAAAATCCCTTGAACGAATTATATGGGAATTCAATAAATTTATACATTCAATTTTCTTTTTTTCATGTATTTGTTTTCGTATATATATATATATCCATATGCGAATTTCGATCCTATTCCTACCAAATTATGAAATATATAATAATCATATTAATAAAATATAGAAATAATATATTCATAAAAATTTTATAAATTTCAATTTCTTTCCATAAATATTTATATAATAATAAATTCTATTTTTAAAAAAAAATATAAATCAATTTCCATATCAATTAAATTATTCCAAAGAAGAATATAAAATAAAATAAAAAATATCTAAAAATCAAAGAACCAAATATTAATTATATTAAATTACTAAAAAAATAACTTCAAAAAAAATAAATAAATTCAAATAATTATGTATAAATATTTTTTCATAATATATATATATATATCAATAAATTATATAATCGAAATTCCTAGAAAATCAAAAATTTAATTTGTTTATATAAAATTTCAATTGAAATTATATATAGAATTTAAATTCTAAAATTACATAAATATATTATACAAAATTAATTTTGCAATATATATGGTGATTAATCAATATTTTTTTCATCCTAAAATGGTCATTCATCGCGGAAAAAAAGGATATTTTTCGCGTATAATCATGTCTAACTAACATAAGCCGGAATATGTTATAATATCACAAAATAGGGAAAAATATCTTGCAGCATAACCCCCAGTAATAGATAGTTGATTGTTTCCGCACAGCCCGTCAGAGCAACTACATATCGTTACCTCACTGTCAAGGCTGCGCCTACCCAAATTGCTAGTTTATAACAATGGGAACAGGAATCGGAGAATCCTATTAACCCTGCGTTCCGGATATTTGGCGGAATCAGCCAGCCAGCCACCTATCATCACCTATCAAAGTATCCGGCACAAACAGCCAGCCAGCTAACTAAAAAATATCCGGCGGAATCAGCCAGCCAACCACCTATCAAAGTATCCGGTGGAATCAGCCAGCCAGCCAGCAAACTATCCGGCGGAATCAGCCAGCCATCCACCAAAAATACCCGGCGGCTGGCGGAATCAGCCACGTATAAATGTTATGTTGTTATGCTTCTTACACACCTATATAAGTTCAATGAGACTTCAAAGTTGTGGATTGCTATACGTGTGTAAAGGTTATCGAGCGATTGACGGAAAGGGAATTTGAAGTGCTATACCTGATAATTGAATTGTAGTTACCCTGGGTATCTACACCTGCGCCAGCTAAGTAAGAAGGGGAGTTTGCGGGGGATGGCCTGAGAAAGCACACTCGAGCTTTCGTTTTGCCGCTTCTCAAGTTGTTTATGTTGTTTGCCTTGCTGGCAGGAAGCCTTCCCAGGACGCGTATACGGCTTCACTTTTTGGCCCGAAGGGTTGATCAAGGAGGTAAGGTTCCAACCAATCAATCATTCAATCAACCTTTACGCGCGCAAAAACATCGGCTCAGGTGGCAATTGCTAACAACGCTCTGTCCAATGTTGCTGCGCTCCCACAAGAGCTTCGTTTCCATGGAACAACAAACAACAAACAACCACCAACAACAACAACATGACTTTGCTTTCCCAGCCTCAGAGATGCATGTTTGCGATGCGCCAGCATGTCGGACAGCTGCAGTGCAATTTGCATAGACAGCACGCATCAGAGCTCTTTTGACACGTAGCAAACATCAAACAAAATGAGCTTCTAGGATTTGAAGGGTTTAGCCATCAGTGGCACGGCAATGCAACTAATTATGTGATCACTATAATGAATCAATTTGTATTGTTAAACGAAACCCGAAGCCATCACTAATCTACACTACTTGTGACACCTCTTACCATTTAACGCCAGTACTTGTTTAGTCCATGTTTCCTTCATTAGCCAACTGTATGTGCCAAAAGTAAAGAATATATGAATTTTCAGCTATTTTTGAAAGAATGCATTTCGACCAGATCAGATTCACTTTTCCCGGACCGCCGCCACTCTTTCTGGTTTTAGCGCGGCGTGCGCCAGAACTAATCACACCGCATTTGAGTAGTGCGGTAAGGTCCTCTAAACCTCTAACTGCGGTATATTAAAATCCCACGGCCCGTGGAGCTGGGACTTGTGTAAAGGACCATTCTCACTCAAAATAGACGGGAACTGTGGCCGGCGCCTCGTCTGTACACGCGAAAAATGATTCAACTGTACGCGCGAAGGAGATGCCGGAAGCCACCTATGAAAGTATCCAGCGGAATCAGCCAGCCAGCCACCCATCAAAATCCTGACGGAATCAGCCAGCCACCTATCACAGTATCCGGGAGAATCAGCCAGCCAACCACCTATCCAAGTGGCCGGCGGAAGCCAGCCAGCTATCAAAATATGCGGTGGAATCAGCCAGCCAGCAACCTATCAAAGTAGCCGACGGAATCAGCCAGCCAGCCACCAAAGTACCCGACGGAATCAGCCAGCCAGCCACCAAAGTACCCGGCGGAATCAGCCAGCCAGCCAACTAAAAAGTAGCCGGCGGAATCAGCCAGCCAGCCACCAAAGTAACCGGCGGCTGGCGGAATCAGCCACCAAAGTATCCGGCGGCTGGCGGAATCAGCCACCTAAAGTATCCGGCGGCTGGCGGAATCAGCCGCCTAAAGTATCCGGCGGCTGGCGGAATCTGACTTAGGCCCCGAACTTCAGGGTCTATAGAGAATCCTTTACGTACTGCCAGGGCTAGGCACGGAAATGTTAAGGCTTCAATTCGTTAGTCTGGGATATATAGGGACACTTCCGCCCACTAGCTCTGCCGCAAAATTGCCTTGTTTTTCTATTCTTTGTCAGTCCGTTAGAAAGGAAAACAATGCAAGCGATGACCTTCGATAAATCTTTCGCAAAAAAAACGATATTTTCGCAAACCTCATCGCGAATCTTTCGCGGATGGTTCTAACAACATCTGAAAGGCTGTTTTATATAAAATTCCTTACACGGGGTTTTCGATCAACTCCCATAAATTAATAAAAGAAATAATTGGAAATTGATGGAATTCTTGATCGTTAAATTTGGCATGGCCACGTGATCGCATGTCGGTCCAGGAGCATTTTCTGCAGCTGGATGAGTTTTGCCTCTGGCAAACCTAAAGCTACGTGGAAATACGTGGAAAGTTGTGTTGACACAAGCATTCCAGTGATGTTGTGTCATGTCAATCAAATACAAGTTGATGGCTTGCGTGTTCAACATCTCCTGAGGAAGACCGCAGTATTATCGAGTCCTTCATAATCTCATGATCTCTATTCATTCGTGTTCCATGGTAGTAGATCTTCCCTTTTGATCCCTTTTGACATCACGGCTCAGTCTCACACTCGACCTCGTGGCACCAAAGGCGATTGTGGTTTCGATTCGATAGGGGGTTCAAACTACGGTCCCTTATAGCTCTACGGCCCAGAACTTCCAATGACTGATTCATCATCCACTACCTAAGAGGTAAAATGAGTCACTGGACTCTCAGGGTACCACACTTCTTCGCCGAAGAGGTGGGATGTCCAAAAACCCTCCGTTCACGTTGACGTCGAATCGCTAGGAGTCGACCCGAACGTTCCGACGGAGCGACCGGAGACGCCCGGCTGCGCCGCAAGATCTGCTGTCTCTTAGGTGGTCCAAATTGATTCACCCACGGTTTAATCATTCGTCGCGCGGGCGAAGTGCAGCTGCTCACGCTGATCTGGGCATTCAGTGGCTCCCAAGACTTAGAAGACATATCCCCAAACACATCCAAACACCACTCCGAAGACCACGGAAAAACACACACAAATTGCTCGTCTGACCGACCCTTCACAAACTTCAAGGTACGAGTACTCGCCGCATAGCAGATCCATGTGTCGCAAATATCTTCCATCTGACTTCACTGACAACATTTGGGAGCATCTTGGATTCCAACTCCAGGGCCATGACTGCTCAAAAGCAACATGCCTGGTCGCTGGGTCGGAGCCACATCCACATGTGACTCAGGTCAGCACGCTGTCTTCGACGGCACCACCTTCCCTTGCCTGCGATAAACACAGAAACGTCCGTCAAGTGGTCGTCTGGCTGCGTCAAGCAGAAGTTCTCGTCGACCGGAAGGAGGCTCAGCGATCTGGGGACTCTCCGAAATTCTTCCAGATTGGTGAGAAAAAGGATTCCCCAGAGATGCAAACAGGAAGGAATCACCTCATCAGCAAATCCAGCACCTGCTTCACCTGCTTCATACCAAAAGGATCCTGATTAAAGGGAGCCCAACAAAGGTGCAACGAAATAAATGAGAACTCATGGTTGGACCCTTGGCAAAATCATGCGATCAAGTCATGATGAACTTGCATATTCATGAGTTTTTTTGTCGTGGTCAAGAGTTATTGGCATACACCGGTCACGTATATATCTCACGCCTCTGCCGACAGAGTGGGCTCTGCTCCACCATCTTCTGCCTGAAGGTGATGTAATTGGATCAAATCATGTTGAATGATGTTAAATGTGGGTGATTCAAAAATGCTTCACAAACCTGAAGGTCTCGACCCTGGTTGGATTCTGATCCTGTTCGTGGTGGTTGGTCCGGTCAAAGCACCACCCCTGGAGGTCATTGCTTCTTTCCGTCGAAACTTCAGGGGTCGAAGATGATCGAAGCGAGGTTTTCTCACGCCGGGGAGGTTGGAGGCCACACCTTCCCCACAACTTCCTGCTTGCATAACGAAACTCTGATATTGCAAAGGTCAGCTAGTATACAGATCAGCTGTGTTGGGCTGAACCAAAAACTATGCTATAATTCCACGACTCGACCGCTTTTTAGAAGTGTTTTGCCCATGCCTCCATGTTTCGGGCTGCGTACTCCTCGATCTCCTTGACGAATTCCAAGACCATGTTGTCAGACTCTTTCATCTGGGCAACAAATGCAACAGGCCACCAAACTTCACGGCTTCCAACTGAAACTCAGACGCACCGGAATACACGTGACCTCATCTAAAGGATGCTCCAACATGACCTCATCGAACCCCACGCCGGACGTCCGTCGTCCGTCCGGTCGGCACCAGCAGTTCCACCATCCCGAACTCCGCTGAGGCCTCCCAGGCGGTGGAGGCCGGTGGAGGCCGGTTGGATGCGGTGGAGGACGCAACACAGGGACCGATGAGTTGAAGCAAGCAGAGGTAGCCGATCCCCCTCATGTTTGAAGCTTTACAGCTGTGAAGGGACCAAATCGAACATAGACCAGCACCTTTCAGTCACCAATGGAAGCCCCTACACTACTTACCCCAAACTATCCATGTAGGAATATAATGGAATATATGCCTACATTGACCCCTGAAATCAATGATTATAAGTAAAAATAGGCCAGCGATGATCGTGAAAGATCATGAATGAGGGAAAATCCTACCTCTGGAATCCTCTGGACCCCACCAAATCTTGGGCAACATTCATGATAGCTAGCTGCTATGCAGGAAACATGCCGAGATGTGGAAACCACCAACTCACTGTTTCATGTCTCCCTATTGCCAAGGTCAAACTGCTGCAATATGTTGAGATGCAGTGAGGCAGCATGAAAAACGGCGCGAAAAAGGATCTTGTCCAAGCATCTCCCATTAAACCCGCAACGAGTTGGATCCCTCCCCCCATCCCGTCCCATCCGGTCCATGTTGCTGCCGCCGGCATTCGGTCCGCTTCGGTCCTGTTGCTCTTTGAAGAACTGCCGAGCCGCTAGGACCTGGTGAAAGGAACGGAGATCGGCTTCATCAACTGGGCCCATGTGGAGTCCCCAGTGGAATACCATCGAGTGAAGTGAACTCCTCTCAGTCGGCGCATCCCGGCCCAAAACGGACACACGACGAACAGTGACGGACGGGCGGACGCCGAAACATCCAAAAGCATCCCAACTCCGTGGTGTGGTGCTTTCCGGTCCGTCCAAGCAACGGAGATGTGCACTGAGAATGGCACTGCTGAGATGTATTGGCCTGCACCACCTGTGCACCACACGGCAGGGGTCCGTGGCGAATGACAGCAGGTGACTCGAACAAGCTCCTGTTGACTGTTGAAAATGAACAGATTCCTCTATAAGGGATGTTAACCTTTTATGGTTTGGTGGGACAGGTGCCATGACTCATAGCCATGTGGTCTATGGAGCTACTGATCATTTCTCTATCTGCAATGTTTAATCTCAGGTCTGGAGCAGAAAACCCGGGTAACAGCTGGCCTCGGACATTGTTTAGGGAACCTGTCATATGATCTTATTTTAGTGAAGGGATGGATGCCCAATGCCAGCAACTGGTTGAAGCAGTGGGAGAATCCCCTCATCTTCCTCATCTACTGATCTAATGTTGATCCCCAAAGGTTTCTTTCAGCAGCTTCCCAATCACCTTGAGAACGCATAAAGCGCCCGCCAAAGCCTTAAAAGCTCGGTTGGGGCTCGGTGTCGTCTCTCCAACGACGGCGCACGCGCCGCGTGTTTTGCTCAGCGATCCAGGCCGAGTCTTCCGCGTCCCCTGAGCCTGAGAGTGCATGGCCAGCACCTGATCTTCAGGTACCCGGCTCGGCGGAAACAGCATGGAAGACCATCGACCGGTCGGGCGTCGGGGAAATGCGCCCTGGGCATCATACCCTGGTTGGGTGACCGCGCCCTCCAACCATAGTGGAAATTGAAAGTGGGGCCCTTCGTTCTTTTCCACGTTTGTTCAACAGAGTGTGACGCTCTCAATTTGTATAATAGGGTTGTATTTTTGCATATCAACTACTTTTAAATAGAGAGACACCAAAAAGCGTGCTAGCTGCTAGTAAAGCGAACATAAACGACCAAACTTCTCATAATTATATAATGATGTCGTAATTGATTGATTGACCTCCCCTAATCTGCCACCCACCCACGCACACAAACAGAGCTGTCCAGTGACTCAGCTGCCCCCGGACCCCCCAACATCCGGTGTCCCAGTCCCACTCCACCGAGGAATGCCTGAGACGGAGGCCGCCATCTGCGCAGCCTGGGTCGATGGGGAGAGTCCACCGCTGATGACACGAAGCCCGAGATGTCGTCGACAGCGGGGCTGTCGTTGGCATGAAGCCATGGGGCGAGTGGCATGCTGCATGAAAGTGATGCCTTACTTCAAGGCCCGCAGAAGCGGTTTATCCTTTTTTTTTCGAAAGTCATAGTCATTTTTAGTGTGACTTGATGGGATTCTCTCAACAAAAAGGGCTTGCACATGGGCTAGCGGCTTGCGCCATGGTGGATCAGTGACACGCTGCATGCTCCCTCCCTGACCAACGCCGTCAAACGCGGTCGCCGCGAGCGACGGGAGCCCCCCACGACCACTTCCATGCTCTCAGCGATGTCCTGAACACCAACGGGGAAGACGGACCAGCACGACAGGAGTTCCGGTGGTGTATAGACACCCCTCTGTAGCTATGTATATATGTTCTTTCCAAAAACCACTTGAACTGGGTGGTACGGCTGTCATTGGTAGACACTATTATAGGCCGTCAGTTTTCAGATACTACACATCAACATGATCTATACAATGCAAACAACTTGGATATCCCACATCATCAGTGACATGAACATCTAGGTACTGATCCTGGTATAAATATGCAATTCATACAAATATGCAATTCATACAAATATGCAATTCATACAAATATGCACATGTCATTGAACCAACCGCATCTCCAATGTCCATGACCAATCTGTTCTTCAGCGGGGTCACCGTGGCCTGGGTCGTGTGAGTTCCTCGCGCGAAGCGTGGCGTGAGGAACGCACCGTGACCACCCGCTGTTTCTTGGGATGAAGGAACATCCATGGGTGAACTATCGATGAACTGGTTTAATTATGTGTGTTTATGTAGTATAACTACAGTGGAATCTCATAATTAGATAGCAGAATATAATATATATATATATATATTTAATCAAATAGCGACAAATAAACGTAAGGACAACATGATGTTTCATGACTATATATCCGTTCTATCTCGTTCTTATCCATGGGATGAACAAATGCAAGAACTCCTTGACGTCATGTCGTCGGGGTGCAGCTGCCCGTCGTTTTTGGTGTTCCACAACTCAACGACCAGAAGGAAAGACATCATGTACCGGCCCTCTGCACAAGAAGACATTGCAAAATAGATTTGTGATTTGTCATCGCATTCATTTGCAATGTGTAATGAGTCAGATGATATAATCAGGTATTCTGCATGCTGATCACATTAACCCTGCAGGCTGACTCATCTTCATCATATTGACATGTCTTTTTCGCAGTGGTTGCAAGGGGTGTGGCCTTGGGATCAAGAAACACTGGTATAACCATGGTATTACCGAGCCCGGTGGAGCTTGCTTCGTGACCTCGGCCTTCATCGACTTTTTAAAGCAAACGCCTAAAGACGACGGCTGCCTCTTAGAGGTCTCGCATGTCTTTGACAGCAAACCAAGTGGCTTCTTGAAGGCCAATACAAGAAAGAGTTGCTCATAGTCTCAAAGTCCTTCTCTCCACAGTAATGTTGACTCTTGACAAAGTAGAACCGCCGTCCAGTAGAACGCTGGCAGCACCGCTCTGAGAGGAGGGTTTCACCTTCTTGAACGCGAGTGGTAGAAGAGGTTTTACAATCCATGTCTGGTTTTTTGATCTAGAATCCTCCGTGTCAGTCCACCCCAAAACATCCAAGTAGAGATGCATCATTGTCATGATCCATCACGCTGCACGCTGGCCCCCATCCACTGAATGGTGCCAGGTTGCTTGCTCACCAAAACGTTCGAAAACAATTAAACACCTCACAACAATACAACCCAAAAGGGGCCCTGGGCACATCAGATGTGGTCCAAAACGAAGTGGTCTAGGAACAAAAACACCAGATTCTAACTCTCAGAACAGGCGAGACGCCCAGGAAATATAGAAAATATTTTGTTTTAGTCTGGGGTCAGTCTGGGCGACGGTATCATGAGGTCCGTCCTTCACTGATCTCCCACATCAAAGAGGTCTGTGCCACCTGGAAGAGGGCCCAGTCGGAAGGCCAAGGCGAGCGAGGAAGGAGAGGTCTAGGCAGGTGTTTTTGTTGGTGAAGGGACAACCATGATTTTCTATTGGTGTCATGTTTGGAAAACATATAGTAATTAACGCAATAATGAACAATCAATGGGCCTTTTGAGCCGAGCAAATCGATCTGACCGAGGTTATTTGTTTCATCCAATGTGGAATTCATTGGAATTCACATGTCTGTCATTGGCACAAACTGGGAAGTCGGAGAGCCAAACTGCAACATACTGCAACAACCAAGTCCTAGACACGACCCATGGGACTGCCATAGGACTGCCGATCAGGCCAGGGGTGGTTTTGGGGGGTCAATGGATCGGCATATATTCCAGTCCCATTAGTCGTGTCTGGGAGTTGTTTGGACGTCGCTCAGACCGAAGCAATGCTCGCTCCTCGCTCGCTCATACGAAGCGACGTGGCTGCGACGTCCCATGCAGGTGACCGACCGATGACCGGCCTCCCCGACTCGACCCGAAGCAACAAGCTGCTGGACCGGGCGGACCGGGCGGAGCATGTTCGATCCCTTTGACTGCAGGTGGAACAGAACTGCGGGCGCTTTACAGCTCGTCAGATCTCCAACCTCCACCAAGGCATCCTCGCTCCAGGGTTGTATCCACACGGGACTGATCTTGGAGCCTAAGGAAGGAAACCTCAGCAACGGACGGCGCGTACGGCGCGTTGGTCCTGAGAGCGCGAGTCCATCCCAAAGCACGGACCCTTCCCCAGGCCCAGTGGTTTCAGAGTAGATGGCACAAACCCCAAGATTTAGAGGGGGTCCATATTAACCGATACAGTAACATATGATGGGATGGGCATGTCTCACAGTATCTCAGAGTGTCGTTTTCCAAGTCTACATGAGGCGCCGCTATGGATGATTCGATTCTGTTCTGACTGTGCATGCCACAGGAACTACAGAGTCCACAATACATGTTCCGACCCTATGGTTTCAACTTAGAATCTGTGAAGATGGGGTGGGCCTTGCGCGGTCCGTGTGGAAAACTGCATATCATATTATACAGTATAGAAATCAACAGGCCAAACATTCCCGTTAGTCAAGGGGCCGGATGTTTCACAGTTTCACCTTTCTCAGAACCCACCAACATGTCTTTGTCTTTGTTTCATCCGCATCCGTATTCACCTGGGCGTGCAGAAAAAAATGTGGGGTTCTTCGTCATTGTTCATTGGAGAATGCATGAGTTTCCCAGAATATATATATAATTATATATAAATTACTAATTGTTATTTTACTGTATATAATTACTACTACATATAGGAAGCAGTTTTGGAGGGTGGGGAAACAACCCAAGGGTTTCGGACCGTTCTCAAACCGACATCTGAAGGATTGTTCTTGGATTCGATGGTGTCCAATGCGTCCTCCGAACAGCCCGTTCGGATCCGAAGCGTCGATGGAGACGCGGCCAACCGTCGAGTATGCGATCCCGGGGATCCCGGGCTTCTCCACTTGCGATCGAAACCATTCAGGCTTCGAAGTGGGTGACACACACAGAAGGAACGCCTCAGGAATGGCCCTCTCTCTGGTTCACCCTGCTGGTGAACTGGAGCACAAACAAGTGATTTCTCTCCGGAGAGTTCAGATCTCACGTGGTTCTCTAGGGTCGGAATCGCCCAGGGCTCTCTCTATACCAGGAGCCACAAGGAGTGGATAGACACGCCCGGTACTGATGGTATCTGATGGGTAATGATGGTTAATGGACACCCCTCTAGCCTCTAAGGGCAGGCCTGGATGGGCCTGGTACTCACAGGTTCATTTTGTCAGAAGGTAGAGTTTGACCCTTTCCTTGCATCCGGGATACGTCAGGGTACATCAGGATACCAATTTCTTGTCCAACAGCAGAAGCGACTCGCCAAGTAATCATGTTGTCCATTTCATCTAAGTCACTAGCTTGGGCTGAATGAGTCCATCTGCAATGTGTTTCAGCACAAATCCTCCCGGTGTCTGGCCTCCTGACCTCCCTCCATCCCGCCGTCGCTTCTCTCCGCTCCGCTCCGCTGAAAGCTTCCACCGATGCGCCAAACGTGTGGCTCCGCCGAACTTCTCCGGTCGCTCCTCTCCGCGGAGCCGTGTCCCTTGGCGCTGCGGTCACCGGCACGGAGACGTCGCTCGTCAAGGTTCTGTTTATCTATATACCATGTTTGAGAGGCTGTGAGGCAATCCGACGATCTCTATAGCGTTTCTTTTTCTTCGTCTCTCGGCCTTCACTCTTCGGCGCGACGGGACGACTCGCGCCTGGATGTTCTGCCACCGCATCGACGCCCTCCTCGGCAGGACGGGAAGAGTGGCCCGATCACACGTGGCATGGGTCAAACATGTATATGGGCTGTATTACCGTATACTGTAGCTATTCAAGCCACTGGCCTGGTCTAGGTTTTGGAAAGACGAAGATGGACAAAGAACAGGGACCAATATGAGATTATGAGAGTTATATAAATTTAAAAAGATGTGAAGATGAAAATTTAAGTTCATACAGTAACGCGTCTTTTTTCAATGTTTTCCACAGTGTTTCATGTGCACTGGATTCCAGTTTCGGTGATGCCGAACTCGCATGTGGAAAGACGTCTTCAACCGCAGAATTCCAAGCACAAGTTGGGTCCCTTCCGGAAGAACTCGAAGTGGGAGGAGTCCAAGTACATCCAGATACACATGATATCATATATCACAAACGGCTTCAAAGGCGCACAAATGGTTCCATCATCTAGTACCACAAACGGCACCTCTTCGAGGGCTCTGTTGGGCGTTTTGGAGGATCAGCCAACATCGCCAGCCAAGCATACGCATCGTAGCCGGCACAGCACTCCATAGGACTGGAATATCCGCCGGCTGCTACTTGAGGCCAGCGCAGCTGCTACTTGCCGATTCTTTATCGGTTCCGAAAGCGACGTTCGGCATTCAGCTGCGGAGCCTCGGGGCCCAGTTCCGTTTCAGCCTCTCATGGTGTTTGGGCGTAGGGGGGGCCTAGTGTTTGCGCAGCTGCAGCTAGGCCCAGTTCCGTTCTAGCCTTTTATGGTGTTTGGGCGCAGGGGGGGCGGAGCCTAGGGGCCTAGTTCCCAGGGCGTTTGGCCAGCTAGCGTTTGCAGTTGCAACTGCGCCTTGCTGTTCTCTTGTTTATCGGCCTGGATGTGATTCCCGGGTTTCCCTGTATAATCATAATCATCCACCACTAGTTCATGCACAGCGGAATAGACTTAAAGCCTGGATGCGCAGAGGATTGGAAAATGTGTTGGTTCATTTATCTGGATCATAAGGCATTACCCCCGGCTATGCGGACTGGAACATCCAAGATCACCAATGATAATCCCGAGTACCTATTTAAAAACGGACACCACTTGCCACTTGCTAATCATGTCGGATCCCCCTAAGTACGATAGCGTTACCGCCATTTCAAGCCGCTACTAAACTACCAACATTGCCACTTTGGAGGCGCCTTTAAATAGGTTCCAAAAACAACCGTAGCTGCCCACCTCTGTCCGCCCTGTCTATCCACTATGACACGCCCCATTTACACCAGCAGGTTTTCCTTCCCCCAATGGCACGGACTCACGCAAACGCACACTTGCCACCGAGGTCACGCAAAACCGCATGGCACAGCGACATCACCTTTCAAAAGCTGTAGTTGTTAGTCTAATGAAGAATCACTATTCTAATTAAAGGTTTTTTGTAGGGGAGAGACCCTTCGATCTGGAGGCTTTTGAATTTTTGATACGAGTTTAAAGGATTTTATATAAAATTCTTCCTGGGTGACTTTTTGGTTTTGAAACTCTTCCCAGGTGACCCTATTTTGGATCCCCCGATTTAGGGACCCCCTACTTTAAAGCATGCGACCGAGGTTTCCTTATTAGGGGGGGGGCAGGCGTGTTTTTTTATGACGGGATTAAGCACAGGTCACAGGACCCCCTGCATGAGCTCCTGACACTGAAGCCCTAGCAACGGCACACCTCTTCCTCGCTCCGAGCTCTAAACTTCCACTTCATGTTTCGCTTTGCAGCAAATCATCCTGTGACCTTTCGGCCCAGAGGAAAAAACGAGCGCGACGTCCAGGCGCGAACACACTGCACTCATGGCAGCAGGTCCACATCGAAAAATCTCCACAGGCTCAGCATCATGGCCCCTCTTCTGCGCAATCGTCTTCATTCTCTGACGCCGCCAGCCACAGAACATCGAGCAGAGCGAGCGCTCGCAGCGTTGACTCGTGAACCTGCAGATGCACCAACCACCATAAGTCCCGTGACCGTTTCCCTCGCCTCAAACTGCATCAATTGCGACAAAGGCCTACGCTTGATTCAGATTAGGCACGCTACACCACAGTCTACCTTTCCAAATCGAAGCTAGCCCAAAAACAAACACCAAACATACCTGCCCTCACCCCCACCACTTTCCTGCAACAAGCGACTCAGAAGAAGAACAAACGCCGGCGGCACGAGCTTCATCGAAGGCATCCATCCCCTCAAAGTAGAGGGTCCAGATGGGTACCCTTCTCCAGGCCACCCTTGTTTACAGGAGAACAAACATCACATTGAATCACTTTTGAATCATTTTAAATCCTTTTTGAAGCTTAAAAATTGCAAGAAAGTGATTTAAAATGATTTGAAACTGCAAAAGTGTATTTGTCACTTTTGTTTCTGAACGTGATGTTCATTAAAAAGCTGACAAGTAATGCTTTAATTTACTGTGTTTGAAAGTCAGCATTTCATTGTCATCCTCATTTTGTTATGAGTGTTTTTTAGGAAAAGGAAGAGGAACAGGAAGAGGAAAAGGAACTTTAAAACATACAAATAAAAAAGGAAAAGGGCGAGAAAGAGGAACAGGAAACAAAAAAATGGTTTGATTTGGTTTGTTGATTATCTATTCTACTGGTTTTCTGCGGTTTTACAAAAAATTTGTAACCTGATCAAATCTGATCAAACCTGATCAAATCTGATCAAAACCATAGGCTTGATCAAATTTGATGGGATTGCATTTTTTGTACAAAAACCTTAATTTCCTGAATTAAAAGTTTTGTCACTGTTTTAGTCATTAGATTGTGTTCCCTCAACTCTCCTCGCCAAAAAATTGTCCACCATTTTAGTCATTAGATGTTGTTTCCTCAACTCTCCTCACCAAATTTTTTTCTCCACAGTGTTATATAAACATTAAATGGTGTGTCCTTTTTTCACCCAATTTTTTGTCCACCGTTTTAGTCATTACCTTTTTCCTTTTCCCTCACCAAGTTTTATTGTCCACCGCTTTAGTCATTAGAAGTTGCTTCCTTAATTTCCCTGGAAAGGGAAAGGAAGAGGAAAAGAAAAAGGAAGAGGAACAGGAAAAGGACAAGGAAAAGGAAAAGGAAGAGAAAGAGGCACAGGGAGAGGAAGAGGAAAATGAAAAAACGGGAAAGGAAAAGGAAAAGAAAAGAGGAAAAGCAAGAGGAAGAGAAAAGGAAAAAAGGAAAAAGAAAAGGAAGGGCGCAAGGAACAAGAAGAGGAACAGAAACCACATTTTTTTTGGGTGAAGGACAGTAAGGAAACAACATCTAATGACTAAACCTGTGGATACAAAAAATTTGGTGAGGAGAGTTGAGGAAACAAAATCTAATGACTAAAATTGTGGCCACTTCGTTTTGGTGTGAAGGAAAGTAAGGAAACACAATCTAATGACTAAAACTGTGGACAAAATTGTTTGGTGAGGAGAGTTGAAAAAACACAATCTAATTACTAAAACTGTGGGCAAATTTGTTTGGGTGAGAGAAAGGAAACAAAATCTAATGACTAGAACTGTGAGCTGGAGCTGGATACTGGAGCTGGAATACTAGTTGAATACTGTTTGATTTTTTGGGTCCCGAGCTGGAGTTGCACTTCTTTTTTCACTTTTGTGCACTTTCTTTTTCACTTTTGTGCACTTTGTGTGATTTTGCAAATGTCCACTTTTTGCAGGCAGACGGTAGTGGTAGGGTGCCCGAATCCCTTAAAGGGGCTAGGGATTTCACTTCAGTGCACTTCTGTGTCACTTCTGTGCACTTCAAATCTTATTGGTGATTAAATTTGAGGGCACATCAGCGTTGTGTACATTTATTTGTCAAAAAAGTGCACAAATAAGATTTAAACTGATTTCAATCTGTTTTGAGCTGATTTCAAACTGATTTTCAACTAAAAAACGCCTCGGTGCACCATCGTGACACCAAGACAGCCCTGCTGGGTGGCCCAGTTGTGCACCGTGTCACGTAACGCTCCTCGACGGTATCGAAAGAGTGACATTGCGCATGCTGCAGCCACACAGTCCTGGCAGTTTCCATCTGTTTTCAGTGTGTGTGTGTGTCACACTCTGTCTCGATCTTGAAGCAGTTCTGTAGCTTTAAGTCTTCAACTTGTCCCATTTCGACTCTTACTGTGCTTCTTTGATATTTGTTTGGATCGTGCCATGGTGGGCGCTGGACTTTGGTCCCCGGGGTCACCCGAAGGTGAAGGAAACCGCATCTCTCTTCTCTCTCTCTCGCTCACCCGCTGTTTTAACAGGCCAATGTGCACCAGCCGTTTTGCAGCGGGTGCTTGGCTTCCTGGCGTACATGGCTTGGGCCCAAGGAGGTTCATTGGGATGGGGCCCAGGGCGACGGCGTAGCATGAAAGCTACGATAATGTGGGACGCTGATTAGTTATAGGGCCCTCTATAATGCTAAATGATTGACAAATAATTCTTGACACCCTGTTTGTCTTAAGGGTCCTCTATTATGCTAATTGTTTTGAATCCTAATCTTTTCAAATATTGGAGAAATATTGTGTCAGTTAAATTCTTGAGAAAATAGAAAAGCAATTCTGAATACTACTAAGCCAATGGTTGGCTTGCTGAAAGTATTGATAAGTAAAGGTTTCTATAGTTCTTCTTCAAAACTGACAGCTTCCCTAAAACAATCAAGTCCCTGATCAATCCTTTATGTAAGGATTGCTCGTAAACAACTTTTCAAGGCAGTAGACTAGGAAGGCCCTTATCCTCAACAATGAATTTGTTTACGTGTCCTCAATTGTGCAAAGTTTTTCCTGAAGAAAAAGGAAATAGTCATTCTTAATTCTACTAAGCCAATGGTTGGCTTGCTGAGAGTATTGATAAGTATAGGTTTCTCAAGTTCTTCTTCAAAACTCACAGCTTCCCAATGCCATCAGTTCCTTAATCAATCCTTTATGTAGTAGTATGAAAGGATTGCAAAGAATACCTACTGACAAAGAGTTTCAGAAAGGAACATGAACACTAATACTACAATCAATTACACAAGGAACCCTCCCAGGAACCCAGATTTGTTTTGGTGGTAGTTAATTTTCAATCACTTCCAGTTTCTTGGGTCCACCAAGAGTAGACAGGCAGCTGGATTGAGGTCACCACTCATTTTCGGCTATCAACAGTTTTCCAATTAGTCGATTCCGGTAAGTTGAAAGTGCCCGCCCTGACACAGTGGACTCAAAGAGCTGTGTGTGAATGTGTGCGTGCTTTTGTTCGCCTTTGTCATGCCATGTGTCTAGTCTCCCCATGTCACAAGGATGCATGGAATGGTTAGGCAATGCAAAAACCTTATCCCGGAAAGTCAAGTTCACAATCAGGTGACAGTTTCAATTGCTTCCGGTAAACCTTTTTGTTGGGCTCGCGCACTTCCAGTTTCTTGGGTCCACCAAGAGTAGACAGGCAGGTTTTGAGCGCTCGACGTTGGTCTTGGTGAAAAGACAAAAAGAAGGCTCAAAAAGCAGAGCCTCGAACATATTTAGCGGAAGCCGCTAAATTGAAAAGTAAAATTGCGGCTGTCCCTGTCCATCCCTGTCCCTTGGGAATCCAAAGGTGGGCGCGGGGAAGAATCGAACCGTCCATTAGACCAAGGAAGCTTTTGATGGAGGGTGGCCTCTGAAATCGACCCCAAGCCAAGAGAGAAAGAACAAAAAACAAATCAGCGGAAGCCACTAATTTCAGGATTGACTGGTGGGCTGTCTCCCTGGTTCTAGGACGGGTTGTTTTGGACGCCCCAAGTGTCTAGAGGCTCACCTATTGTTGTCTTCTGCTTCTTTTTCTTCTTCTTCTTCTTCTTCTTCTTTGCCTTTTCTGTTTTTGTTTCTTCTTCTTCCTCCTCTTCTTCTTCTTGCTTAGTTCTTTCATCTTGTTCTATTGCTCTCTGGAGAAAATGGGTGTACAACTGGGTGAGTCAAGGGCTGGTGAAAAAGTCCAGCGTCGACTGAGAGCGGGGTGCGAGAATGAGGGTGGAGACGACGAAGAGTTGTCGCTTGTCGTTGGGCGTGGAGCGGGGTGCATTCTGCACCAGTTGTTGGTACGCAGTTGCAAAGGGATCCCCGCTGGCCTTGCTGGGACTGTGGCAGCGCACTTTGGCCTGCACTTCGTCCGGGGTCCATGTGTACACGGGGCGCTGTGCGGTGTACATGGCTTGGGCCCAAGGAGGTTCATTGCATGGGGCCCAGGGCGACGGCGTAGCATGAAAGCTACGATAATGTTGGACGCTGATTAGTAATAGAGCCCTCTATAATGCTAAATGATTGAGAAATAATTCTTGACACCCTGTTTGTTTTACGGGTCCTCTATTATGCTAAATGCTTTTGGGTCCTAACTATTTTCAATATTTGACAAATATTGTGTCAGCTAAATTCTTGAGAAAATAGAAAAGCAATTCTGAATACTACTAAGCCAATGGTTGGCTTGCTGAAAGTATTGATAAGTAAAGGTTTCTATAGTTCTTCTTCAAAACTGACAGCTTCCCTAAAACAATCAAGTCCCTGATCAATCCTTTATGTAAGGATTGCTCGTACACAAATTTTCAAGGTAGTAGACTAGGAAGGCCCGTGATCCTCAATAATGAATTTGCTTAAGGGTCCTCAATTGCGCAAAGTTTTTCCTGAAGAAAAAGGAAATAGTCATTCTTAATTCTACTAAGCCAATGGTTGGCTTGCTGAGAGTATTGATAAATATAGGTTTCTCAAGTTCTTCTTCAAAACTCACAGCTTCCCAAAGCCATCAGTTCCTTAATCAATCCTTTTTGTAGTAGTATGAAAGGATAGCAAAGAATACCTACTGACAAAGACTTTCAGAAATGAACATGAATACTAATACTACAATCAATTACACAAGGAACCCTCCCAGGAACCCAGATTTGTTTTGGTGGTAGTTTATTATAGAGGATCCTCCATGTGTTTGAGGGAGGGGGACATCGTGACATCTTGTATCAGGCATCCAAAGATTTGCGTGGTCGCGTTGCCAAGGCTTCGACCTTGCCATCCCGTACATGTCCACAGCCTCTGCTCAAACTTTCATGTGTATTTACAAAAGGTTGTCAACATGTGTCAATGCGCCGAAATTAGCATAAGTAGACTCGTTCCGTTGCCTCCACTGTGTAGAGTATCCCTTCATAGTTGGATCTGCTGCGTGGCCCTTCAACTGCACCTGGACACTGACAGTCCTCTGCACCTGTCTGCCGAATGCAAAGCAAAATCTTTGCCCGCAAACATGAACCCCCCAAAAAAAATCTTCACAGCACGCTCTTTATCAAACAGCAGACCGTATGTTGACTCGGGTGGTAAGTTGAGCGAAGGTCCCCACGCACAGCCGCGCATGGGTGTGGGATGTAGAGTCCATGGGGCGGGATGCGCAGGTGGGAAAATTGCTTTGGGAAGTAGTTTGCGCCGGCAACATTATGTTATATTAGGCAATGTGAGCCAGCAGGCCCTGGTTCTGGCCAAAGGCCCCGGTCGTAGGCCGTCAGGCTTTGAACGCCGCCAGCCACTGACCCTACCTCCGCCACATTTGTGAATCCTTGCAGGCCACTTGGGAGGGCGTCCAGAGGGTGATATGGGCTTGGATGGATCAACAAGAAAACGGGGGCTACCCCATGGCATCAACGTAGTGATTTTCAAGAGCCCGCGGTGCGAGTTATGCTGCCCGAGTGGGATCGCATTATCTGCATGTTGTGCTTTTTGGTTGTTCTTTTGCTTTTCCTCTTCCAGACAAAGAGCAACCACAACAATAATAACGACAACCACAACCACAACAACAACAACAACAATAACAACAACAACAACAACTGCTGCTGCTGCGGCTGCTGCTGCTGCAGCTGCTGCTGCTGCTGCTGCTAATACTCCTCCTCCTCCTGCTGCCGCTGCTGCTCCTGCTGCTGCTGCCAGCACCGTGCCAACGCCCAGACCGCCTTCAAATGCCATCCTTGCGTATCGTCTGCTCCTACGGGCCTGCTGGCCCGCTGGTGGGTGTCAGCCCCTTAAATCCGGCGGCCATGCCATTGTCCCATATCAAGCCTCGCTTGCTATACGGAGACGCGCTCTTGCCGCCGACATGCGTTTCTAGCATCACCCGGGCTCATGTGGCTTCGCCAAAAAACGTCAAGAACATAGGGGGAAAATGATCAAAACTAAGTTCATAGCTTCAAAACTTTTAGAAAATAAAGCATTGAACATGGAGACAAACTTTGAGGACAAATTTTGGTCGAGCATAGTTAGCATCAGCAGAGTCTCAGCAGGAAAGATGCAAATTCTTTGGCGCATGACTAGGCACAACACACTGTACATTACAGTGTTGGTGATGCCAATGGTGCTCGACACAATGCTACCTCAAAACTGCCTCTTCCCTTTGCATACGTACTTCTCTAGAGATAAAGCTTTAGAGTAGCTATTTTTGATCATGTCTCCTCAGTTTTTCGACGATTTTGGACGAAAATAGATACTTCCTGGTGATGTTCCCAATGCCAGTTTGTGGCCGACATTTCTAGCACCACCTGGGCTTATATGGATTCTTCAAATATCAGGACTTTGAAGTGGAAAGCGCTGAAAAAACTATATTTTCAGCATTTTCTCATCTAAACGCAAATAGCTTTAGGCGAGAAAATGCTCAAAAAAATCAAAAATACAGTGCAGTTGTTCTAGCGCTTTTCACTACAAAGTCCTGATATTTGAAGAAGCCGCGCGTGCGTACAGGCGCGCGAGCGCTCTCGTGCGCGTGCGTGTGCAAGAGTGCGTGTGCAAGGATGCGTGTGCGCGAGTGCGTTCGTGTGCGTGCAGGTGCGTGTGCAGGAGTGCATGTGCGTACGTGTGTTTGAAGTTGAAGTTGCCAGACTTTTTACTTCAGACCCTCATGCACACACCTGTGTGGAAGTGTGTATGCGCAGGCGCACCAAGCTGTGCTACTCGTCGCATTTTGCTGTGCGATTAGCCTACGCATGCACGCAGTCCCTGTTGGCGAAGCCTGTCAGTATTTACCTACATTGACCCCCACGAACCACCTCAATGTAACATGTAACATGTAGGTAAAAATGACATACATGGAGCGTTTGGGCCATGATACCCATGGCTGTTTGGACACAAGGTTCCGCTCCCATCCGTCTCTTTCTGGTCTCTCTTTCGGGTTTCAGTCATCCAGACTCAGCCTCGGAGTATTGCCTATTAGGGGACAGACACACCCGAGAGCTGCGGTACATCTGGGACTATTTTCTATTCAAGCATATTGAAGCACTGGCGGGCCCACAAAGGCTGGCCGGCTCGAAGCTGGTCATCCCGGGCTCCCCGGCACTCGACTGCAGCCTCTTGGGCACCTGCGTTCAGAGTGAAGACCAAAGGCTGTGGTGCTTGGGAAAGTCTCAAGGATCTTGACATGTTTGGACACCCAACAGATCCCTACACCGCACAGGCATGTACAGCTGTAAGTTCGTCTTTCATGATGTCTTCCGGTACCAGCCATCCAAAACAGAATCTGTGTTGGAAAAAAAACAGCAAATAACGAACAAAACTCACACCCACTCTCACACCGCCATCCCCAACACCATGAAGCCCCGGGGCAGCCCGCGCATCTGTTGCGGATCTGTCGGCGTCGACCGTCTTCGGCGTGGACTCGGACAATCGGCCGGGCCTGGATCGGTGTGGCCCCACGCACGAGGTCGTCGATGTCCTGGACGCGGAGCAGGGAGAGAGAGCAAAGAAAAGCCGGTCGAATCCTGTCCATCGGTTCTTGAGACCTTGGCACCTATGGGATAGTCTTTAGATGTCCTTCAACATCCTTCAAGCTTTGTTGGTGATTGGGTGGAATGGGATGGATTGATATGGATTGTATGTAGCTGCACACGTCGCCACCCTGTGCCCAGGGTAGCAGAGAGCAGTGAGAGTAGTAAAGATTTACCCAGTATATATCCTACGGGTCAATGACTCCGTTTTACTGCGTCGCATGTTCCACGAAAGTTGCAAGACAATGTGACTCGCAGGTAAAAAGGCTAGCCATTGAACTTTTTTTTGTTGAAACATGTGTGCTGCATCGTATCTGTAGTTTTTGTTCACGAACATGTCTTAACGAAAGATTTTGAACGTCAAATAAAATGTGATGCCGTTAAACTGCGTCACATTTCCTACATCCCATGAAAACGTAGGAAAACTGCGTCGTTGGAAGTGTAGGGATAGTATATATATATATATTGTAATATGATACACGTATAATCAAATCTTAAGAAATTTGTCAAGTTGGAAAGATCATCCAATTGGGGTTGGTGGGTCATTGCGGTTGGTGGGTGGAGGCATGGACAAACCGTGAGAATGGTCTAGCACACCAACACCATTCTTCAGCCCGAAAAGCTGCTTGACCCTTAGTCTCTTTGCGGAAAATTATGGACAATCGTGCTCCTGACAGGCCTGGTAGTCCATTTTGGCTCAAGGCTCTGGCTGCTCCTTTGTTCCTTTCAACAAATGGCCTTATTTTTTTATTGGCAAAATCTATCGCGAACGCACGCGAACGCCCCGTCATCCTCCAGCACAGCGCTTCCATCTGCCATGAGCAGTTCCTGGTGCCACGCGGTCAAAGACGTTCTTGTATGGCTTCAGAGCAACAAGTCAACCCCCTTGAACGGCCCTGGTGGCGTGCCACCGGCTTGAAGTCCTGAGCAATCAAGCCCAAGCATTGCAAGCCCATTCCGCCTGACAAAGCCAGGGAACAGAACAGCGAAGCTTGTGTGCGCATCTACAGGCACCGCTGTGCGTCAAAACCCTGGAGCTCCAAGCCTTGACCCACACCCACATAGAGACGCGAGACGCCGTCGGCGCTGCGAAATGTCCCAGGGCCAGAGCAGGCCGGTTTTCCACTGGGGCGACCACTTCTAGGACCGGTCCCTACCACTGCAATACCACTGGGGCTGCAAATGGAGCAGGTCACGTCCGGTTCCCCACGCTTTCGTCTCGGGCGTCCCGGGCTTTTCGTCGCACGGAACTGCTGGATGTCGTCGCGAAGACCTCGACCAGTGAAGCAGTCTGACGAGTGAGGGTCAAGGTGGTGAGTCAGGGCTTGATCTCTGAGTTCGACGTGAAATCTGATTTGGTGGATTCAATTTCATGAGATTTTAATTTTGGGGTCGAAGCTCCACACCTTGGCCATGTAAACTACAAGTCCGGTGGCCATTCTTCCTGCCCGGACCCAAGTCTCTCCTTTCAGCAAGCCATCTGAGGGTCGTTAAAATGATTCAGCATGCATGCATGTAATTAGATATAATTAGTAGAACATATAGAACCACGATGATGTCAAAACGACAGACATCATGTCTGACATGTGCCAACTTCTTTGGCGTGTTTGATCCATCTGTTGCTTGGATCGCGGGCGGTTCGTTCGGATCACGGATTCCGATCCCACGACTCCCGGTCTTTCTGCCCGGTCGATGCCACCAATGTCTGCTGAGCTGAAGCACGGTGCACCTCCTCCGCGTGCGCACACCGTGCCGTGGCATGTGCCAGTTGAATGGCCACCTGAGCACCTCAGAGGCGATCGGCTGGATCGGAGGCGATCGGGATCGGAGGCGATCGACGGTCCAAGCACCAGTAAACTGGGGCCAGATCCAGGCATGAGGAAAGCCAAAACACCATGTTTTCCGATCTCTACTTCACAGCTTCACAGTGGACCATCGCATCCAGACCGCAGTTGACCCGTCAGAGCCACCATCTGGTACCCCTTTGCAACCGCTCCAGGCTTGCTCGAGGCTTGCTCCAGAAAGAGAAGACCCAACTCAAACCATCCCATGCAGCGCATCCGAAAAAATCACACGTCGAACGTCGGATCGAACATCCGAACATTCGAATCGTAACTCCGCACCTCTCCATAGCTCAGCCTACTCCATGCCACTTCATGACAAACAAACGAAAAAAAAAAGAAAGACAACAAAAAAACAGATATCCCGGCAAGAGACCCCAAGCAGCTGTGTTGACCCCTTACCGTTACACCCCTAGTGTTACCACACTCCACACTAGCTGTTTAGGATTGTTTAGGGAACTTCTCTCTCTCTCTCTTTCTGTGTGGCCCCGGCAGGTCTTGCGTCCACTGTGCGGCCATCCCAGCAGCAAGGCGCCCGCAGGCTCCGAGGGCATCGCCTCGGTAGGAGCGGTGAAGACCAACAGGAGGTGAAGGATGGGAGCGTCAGGAAGTCGTTGCGAAAGAAATGGACCTCCAACTGCTAAGCCTGCTAAGCTATGCTAAGCCTCTTGAAGATGGTGATTGGAGTTGTTTGCTGCGGGAACATTTCAAAGCTGGAACATCGATATGCCTTTGGAGCATCATCTCTATCCAACAACATCCAACAACGCACATACCACTAAGAACCGGAACGCCCACAAGTGTATGCAAGATTATACATGTCGAAAGCAGGTCATGTATTCCTTCCACCATGTTTACCCAATATGGGAAGAAACCTACACCAAATTCACCTGCTTGTGTTGAGCCAGAGCCTCAGAGGCCTCGCCCGTTTTCAATCATTATGCTGCCAAGTCGTCAGGGGCGAGCGTTCTTGTTGGGTCCCACGTCGTCAGCCATCAGGACGGCAAAAGCCACACTCCCACGGCCATCGCTTGGTGTTAACTTACCCAAACACACTCGTTACTGTATATCCACAATATGCCTACATTGAGCTGGCTGAGAAGGGGTCAATACTATGCAATCTATATCTTCCAGTCCCATGGAGTGTTGTTTTTCGTTGCAGCAAGTTTATTCATGGTGTGACCAAAACTGCTGGTGTCCGACCCGTCGTCTCACCATGTCCGACCTCTTCAACCTCTGCCTTCCACCGAGCCCGTCGACTACTTGCTCGCCGTGCTCGTCCGAAGCTGGGGATCTGCGACACATTGAATCGCCCTCGTGGTCGACAGCACCGCCAGGGCCATCTCCTAGCGGTCGACCGTTGTGCAGAGTCGACGCACCGGTGTGGAAGGAGCGGTGGGGATGCCATCGGTCTTCTATAGAGTGGGTGTGTTCTCTTTGTTGTCCAAATGCCGATGGCAAGTTGTATCAAATTTCTCAGTTCTTCTTCGAAGCAGTTTCTAAATGCGTCCTTTCTAACCATACACATCCGACAGGCACACGGAATTTGGAGACAAAGGACGGGAACAAGTGCCTAGTTGTCTGCTTGTAAACAACGAGCAGTATTTATTTATGTAGTTATTAATATGAGTATAAAAAAATATATATATATAATATCATATAATATCAATATAATATATAAATGATGTTAGATGTGAAAATAGCTTGTGCCTGAATCAATGCTTTGACCAACTACACTGTTGGCCGCTATGTGCCGGTCTGTCCTGGAAAAAGACCAGGGGCATGCCAAAGGTGTTGAGGACACCCGCCAGCATCCTCACCAGAAGCAGGTGGGTGTGACCATGAGACCCTGGAAAAAGGAAACACCATCAAAAACTCAGTGTCCCGGAAATCTATCTTCTATCCTACACACAATCAGCTCATGAGCCTCTTTCTGCAACCGTTCTGAAAGCTGCACCTTACCATACGCGCCTGTACGTGTGAGCAAGATGACTGCAGCCTTCGGCCATCGCACAACGTTTGTCGGCGATCCCTGCCTTCTGAGCGCGCTTTGAGCGGATGCCGGGTCCTTCAAGTCCAAATATTCACCGTTGTCCTCAGAAATGTTCACTCAAGGACGCTATGCTCGGTGGAGGCGCTAGTATGTTGGAGGCCAGAAGCTAGGGACGTAACAAGAAGCTACGAACGTAGCAAGGTCCAAAAAGCCTGGTGAAGTGGATTTGAGGGGGGGGTTGGACTTGAACAACGCTCCCGAGAAGGATGAATCCGGTAAATCTTTGTCTGATAAGGATTTGAGGGGGGTTTGGATTGGAAGGCTTTCTCTTTCATCAATGGTCGTTGGATAGAGTTCAAGAGTATTTTTTGCCGAAGATCTGGGACTCTCGGCGATTCTGGAGTGGAAGCCAACTATACTAATCTAAATTAGGATGTACGATCACATTCAGTAAGCCAACTCTGGAAGGTGAAATCGCCAAGTCTTTTCTGCAGGTTTTCGGCGGACCTGAAGCTAGGCCGAAAAAAATTCTCAGGATCCGGCCAAGAAGCATGGGTCCTCTGCATGCTCAGACCTCACCATTGGGGCACCAAAAAACGAGCCGCTCGTGCAGGACTCCAGCAGAAGGGTTTTGGGCCAGTGAAACCCTGCATGTTCTGGACACAGGTGTGCAAAGATCGGGAAAACATCCTAGCTCAAGAGCAAGAGCATAACAACTGAGCGGCCGGCAAAACTAGGGGTCGTTTGGTGGTACGTTTAGAGCATGGTATCGTTTTTGGGATTGGTATCGTTTTTTCAACCCATATGCAATTTTTTTGGGGGAGGTATCGTCTAAATGTAATTTGCTCTGGAAGGTGATCTTGCAAATGATGACTAGTAGTCGTCGTGTACTGGTACTAGTACTACGTAGTAGCAAAGTAGTAGTACTAGTAGTAGTAGTAGTAGGAGTAGGAGTAGGAGTAGGAGTAGGAGTAGCAGTAGCAGTAGCAGTAGCAGTAGCAGTGGTAGTGGTAGTGGTAGTAGTAGTAGTAGTAGTGGTAGTGGTAGTGGTAGTTGTAGTTGTAGTAGTTGTTGTTGTTGTGGTTGTCGTCGTCGTCGTCGTCGTAGTAGTAGTAGTAGAAGTAGTAGTAGTAGTAGCAGGAGTAGGAGTAGCAGTAGCAGTAGCAGTAGTAGTCGTCGTCGTCGTAGTAGTGGTAGTAGGAGTAGCAGTAGCAGTAGTAGTAGTCGTCGTCGTCGTAGTAGTGGTAGTAGTAGTTGTTGTTGTTGTAAAAGTAGAAGTAGTAGTAGTTGTGGTAGTAAAAGTCGTAGTAGTAAGTAGTAGTGGTAGTAGTGGTAGTGGTAGTAGTGGTAGTCGTAAGTAGTAGTAGTAGTAGTAGTAGTAGTAGTAGTAGTTGTTGTTGTTGTTGTTGTCGTAGTCGTAGTCGTAGTAGTCGTAGTAGTCGTCGTCGTAGCAGTAGTAGTAGTCGTCGTCGTCATAGTAGTAGTATAGTAGTAGTAGTAGTAGTAGTAGTAGTAGTAGTAGTAGTAGCAGAAATAGAAGTAGTGGCATGTGAGTGGGCAGGTGGTGTCTGAGGGGATACAGACCTATGAAGTGGGTATCGTTTGGTATCGTTTTTGGTATCGGTCTGAACCCATACTTGTTTCCCATTGAAGAAAAAGAAGGGAAAATTAGCAAAAATGAAATGGAATGTCCAGCTAGCATGGCAAACCATATGCAAAAAAACCTTGGACATACACTGTCTCGAGTGTCAACATCGTCAACAGGCAAAGATAGATTCCAAGATGTGCACCGTCACAAGGCTAGGTATCGTTTTTGGGATTGGTATCGTTTTTTCAAGGAAAATGCAAATTGTTCATTTTTGAAGAAACGTGAGCGCCGACCTTTAGCACTTTGCTCAACTAGAAATCATCTAACCAATGACCAACCTTTCCATCTCAGTTGCAGTAAAGAACTCATTTGGTAATTGGTACAGAAACTCCACTACTGTGAAGATCCCTCTTCCATCTGCAGCTGCAGAACTCCAGGACTTTTCTGGATTGAATGCTGAGACCACCTGAAACTCCCCAGCGGTTGCGTTGTTTTTTTGATTCGCTTTGCGACGTTTTGATGGACGGGTTGGTCGCGGGATCACAAGATTTCCACAAGCAAATACGCACACAAACAAAAATAATCCCGGCAAGAGACCAAGAGACCCCACACAGTGTGTGTGTGTGTGTGGTATATAAGCAGAAAGTGCAGAGATCTAGACGCATTGGGGTCCAGAGAGGTGATGGTGGTGGTGATTGTGGCGGTGGTGGTGAGTGTGACTGTGAGTGTAAGTGTCAGTGTGGGCGTGAGTGTGAGTGTCTGTGAGCGTGAGTGAGAGTGTGAGTGTGAGTGTGGAGTGCCGAGTGTGTGTGTGTGAGTGAGTGAATGAGTGAGTGAGTGAGTGAGTGCGTGGGTGTGTGGGTGCGTGGGTGCGTGGGTGCGTGGGTGCGTGGGTGCGTGGGTGCGTGGGTGCGTGAGTGAGTGAGTGAGTGAGTGAGTGAGTGAGAGTGAGTGAGTGTGTGTGAGTGCAGTGAGTGCGAGTGCGATTGCGATTGTGAGTGAGAGTGAGAGTGGAGTGAGAGTGAGAGTGAGCCCGAGTGGGGTGGGTGTATGAGAGAGAGAGAGAGCGAGAGCGAGTGAGTGAGTGAGTGAGTGAGTGAGTGAGAGTGAGAGAGCGAGAGTGGGTGTGAGTGTGAGTGAGAGGGAGGTGAGCATCTGACAGCACAAGTGCTGCGCCTGCCACGAAATCTGCACTTCGAGGTTCACAAAGTGCTGTGCTTGCCACGAACTCTGCACATCGAGGTTCACAAAGTGCTGTGCCTGCCACGAAGTCTGCACTTCGAGGTTCACAAAGTGCTGTGCCTACCACGAAATCTGCATTTGGGGGTTCACACAAAGTATTGTGCCCGTCACGAAATCTGCACTTCGAGGTTCACCAAGTGCTGCACCTGCCACGAAATCTGCACGTCGAGGTTCACAAAGTGCTGCACCTGCCACGAAATCTGCACATCGAGGTTCACAAAGCGCTGTGCCTGCCACGAAATCTGCACATCGAGGTAGCTCCGATCCCTTGCACCTGTCACGAAAAGTCGACTTTGGACCACGAAAACATGAGGTTTCCCTGGCACCTACCACGAAAAGTTACCGCCATGTGCGAAAATGCGCACGGCGCCACAATGAGAGCGCAGTCGCTAGAATCTAGCGACTGCGCTCTCATTGCCGCTAGAAGCATCCGCCGCCGGCAGGCAGATTTCGCGAGCCTGCGCAATCGAAATGCATGTGGACGATTTCGAGAGGTATGAATGTGCTGTAAATAGCAACGAATTAGCCGTTCACCGTGCGCCCCAGCGATCTAAGCACAGCTGCTTTACACCTACCGTAAGAACCCCTATGTGTGTCCACACTGCTTGGGGAAAAAACACGTCTGCAATACATCCCTGCACCAACTAGGGCTTTCAGAAACCAAAGCTCGTCCTGTTTCCTTTCCCTCTTGGAGGAGCTTTATAAACATCCCATGTCCGGCATGATGGGCACCCCGTCAAAAGCAAGCCCGCATCCTCCAGGATCTGCCGCAGCTTGCCACGATCCTCCATCAAACTGAGCCAAACACAGCCCTGGATCACCTTGCTATTTGCAGGAAACCTTCCTCATCGTTAAAACTTCTTCCACCAGTTTAACACTTAAATTTACACAAAAGAGAAGCACAACTGCTTCGTCCACTCACCTATTCAAGCAAAAGATTTACATGTTCAGCTCAAGAAGCCGTCCAACTTGGGATTAATATGGGAATTATACAAATTATTTGATACAAATCTCCCCAGTTAGGACCCTCAAACGATCCAAAATGGACCAAACCCCAGCCAGGTCTCGCACTAAAAAAAGAAACCGCCATTTATATGGTCTGCTTGAGGATCTTTTTTCCCGAGACCTTCGCGGACCGTGGAGCCCCTACCCTTAATTACACTCCCTGGGATTATCACCCAAACCATCCATGTATGGCATATTGACCTACATTGGGGTGGTTTCAGGGGTCAATGTATGTAAACATGCCATATATGGATGGTTTGGTTCATGGAAGTGGATGCAATGGCCACGATTTTGAATGACCATTTTCCTTACAAAGCGGCCCACGTAACCATGATGATTCCAGGAAGCGTACACCCGTGTTCCGGTACCAAGTGCTCTGCCAGTTCAGTGAGTCTTAGACCCAAACGTGAAGCACAACAAGCAATGCCTCAGAACTTAAGTTAAAATTAATATATGCAAGAACCCCAAAGAGCCCCAAGATGCCCAAAGGGTCAATGGAAAACAAACTGATCCAAACAGTACTGAAAACATCTGAAAACCCGTGGAACGTGTGGGTTCTCTGGGTCTGGATTTTGTGGGAGCCACATCTCCCGTTGCATGGAATTCCCGTTAAACAGAACTCTGCGCGTCACGGAAAGGACCGGTTTGGGACCGGTTTGGGAGGCCATGTCCAGCCTCCAAACTGGGCAAGCAGTCGCCCAGTTGCCGCATTCCTTCATGCCACACCTCAGCGAGGCTTTTCCGTGCGCCGGCATCACCATGTTCGGCTCGGTGAAGCAAACAGGGTGGTTCCACCGGTGGCTCGGTGGGAACCGGTGGCCTCACCTGCAAGAGACACACTGGCAGTCACCTGAAACCCCGCGTCCAGACCCTGGACCCCTCTTCTTCTCACTTAATTGATGGCCACTCATCACAGACCCTCATCGCAACGTGAATGAAGTAGACTCTGACGAACAGATCACATGGGTCCCCTGAAAGGAAGACTACTGTTCAACAAACAGGGTGTTTTCTACTTGGTGCCATCCACTTCCATGTGATGTCTTCCTCTCAGTTCTCCACTTCCGGCCGACTCGACCTCTAGGACCCCCCGGCCATGCGCTGGAGCGTTCCAGGCGAAGTCATCGACTTGGCTCCTCCATGGGCCACGCTGTGAAACCTCGATGCGGAGCGCGGTGAAACGTGCGCGGTGAAACGCGCCGCTTGTGTGGCCCTGAAGAAGTGCCGATCGTGGTGGCCGGATGTTCAAAACGTCAACAACCATTAACCATTCACCTGATTTAATGAACATATTTCATGTGGATGCGCAGTGTTCAAGGATCAAATTTGTGGAAAAAAGGAGGACACATGAACAAACTTAGACTCTTGCGACAGGTGGTGGGGCCACTCAACTTTGGCGCAAAGAAGACTGACGATATTTGGGTGTGGCCAGAAACCCTGGTATGGGTCGTTCCGCGGTGCAGTGAGAGTGATCCAAACCCTATGGATCAGAGCGCTGATCCAAGCCCTATGGATCAAACCGACAAGTCACTTGATCCAAGCCCCCGACATGAACACATCTGCATGGTGGCACTTCACCCCACCACTTTCTCACCAATTCACTGTGAAGGCGGTGGCTTCCCAGATCAAAGCCATCCTGTTTGTGGCAAGCCTGTTTTGAAGTTCTGGCCGCTGTGAATTTGGGCTCCACTGTCCACATATTGGGCATGGTTGGGTATAGAGTGGTGGCAATGAGTGTTGGGTTTCATTCTTTCTCCAACTCAAGCAGACGACGCAAGAAGCCCAAAAAGGCCATCAGCTGGCCACGCACATTGGTGACTCAGTGGGCTCTCAAGACATTTCACAGGTGGTGACTTCAGCGCTAGGAGGCTCACTCCGAACACTGGTTAGTGGCTGCCGCTAATTCTGTTTGGCCTTAATATTGTGTTCTAGCACCTTCTTTAATATGCCTTATTTGGGTTGGCTTCTCCACTCAAAGGGTTGCATAGCCTAATGGTAAAAGATGGTAAAAGCGTCGGTTTCCAATTCTTCACTTCCACAATGTCAGGGTTCGAGCCCTGGCTGTGACCACACTTAGTGGCTTCCGATAATTAATTTTTGGGTGGAATGGGAAGTCAATTTGAAGTTGAGTCTAGTGGCTTCCGCTAAGTCTGTGGTGGTGGCAATACTGGTGACAGTAGTGAGTAGCAGTAGCAGCAGCAGGTGGCAAGTGCAGTGGCAGTAGCAGAAGGAGTGGTGGCA